CTGTTACAAAAAGGAAATGCAGTAGACTTTTAGTGAAAAGACTATTTAAAACTTGTCCTTTGCCTTTCTGTAAGGACACCATGATGATGTAGAAAACTGATAAAAGTAAACTAAACATAAAACAAACATTCTAGAAAGAGTACAAAAAGTAGCCATCCGAAGTTCAAAACTTTGCAATCAGACCACACTGTCTTTGAGGGGCTTTCAAAGTGTTTCTGTGGCTATAAAACCTACACTTTGCACACTGTGAAAAATAAGAATAGAGAGATGATTTATCACTCTCCCTTCACTCATCTTGCCAGAGTTCCATTTTACATTTTCCAGTCACTGCATGGCCTGATGCATATTTCCAAGCCACACTTAATTATTACCTAACAAAAATCCTTGAAACTTCCTTGATGAACACTGGGCATTTCTGCTCACATGACTGTTCTGTACGCCTGGGCACCTGGACACACATTTTTATTAAATCGACCTTGAGAATATTTCTTGAAGGATATTTTTTCAGTGCCATTTCTGTCCTGTCTTCCCATAATGCTTTGCCATGAAGAGTTTGGTATCTGTCACTTATTGCTAGAAGCATCTAAATCAAATGAAATCAAGAAGCTCACCGTCTACTGGCGGAGCAAACCAGTAGCACTTAGAACGGATGCGAACAACCAACCAACCTGTGGTGAGACACAAAAAGAACGAACATTCCAAGTTTTAAAACAGAACCGGGGATTAATTCTGACTTGCAGGTCAGGAAAGGTCTAGACTGAGGGAATGTTGTGATCTAAGGAAAGGGCTGAGAAAGAACATAAACTCTTCAGGGAATAGCAAGCAATCCAGAGGGGCTGGGGCCAAGTCCCAGAATGGGAGGGTCAGAGAAGTAGACAGACACCAGACAACAAGTGCTTTCTTAGAGTCCCTGAAGCCCACCCTGAGACCTCACCCCTCCCCTGGATTGCCGAGTAAGTGAAGAAATGGGGAGTATACGCATTTAAGACAAAAGTGAGGAAGAAGAGTTATGGAAGAAGAGCCATAAGGAAGATCTGGAAGAGTAAGAAGAAAAGCTGAGAGAGTAGTATTACCCCAGCAAAGTGAGTGAAGAGCCTCAAAAGAGTGTCTGAGAAAGGAAAGAAGAAGATTTAAAAATGCATAAAAATGGAGTGTAAAGCATTGCACAGGTACCAGAGCACCAGGCAAGGTAAAGAGCTTTTGGATCACTTGCTCCTCAAAGGGTAGTTCCTGTGGAGAGTGCAGGCCAAAATCAGCCTGTTACAGCGCGCGCATCCAAGAGGGAAAGACAGAGAAAGCGAGATTGAGAGGAGAATGGGGAAGCGAGGTCTGTTTTCCTTATTGCGGCACATGTACAGAGGGGTTTTCACTTGGGTGTTTACTTGGGGACACTTGCTAGGGAAGGGAGCTGGCTTCTGAAGAAACTGAAAACTCTTAAAAGACAGAAGTAGGAGGACAGCACAGCATCTAGGATTCTTGGCCTGAGGGAAAGCAAGTAGGCCCTTATAGAAGAGACCAGAGCAAGCTTTCTTACAAAGCTGAAGGAAGGAGAGAAAAGTGGAGTTGGAAAAACCAGTTTCAGGTGGCAGGTGTGAAATCTAGAGTGTGTCACCAAAGCATTAGACGAGGCCACTTATTTCACATAAGGTGAGTAGAGGTGAAGGTGAGTAAAAGAAGTGTGCTGAGGGACGGTAAGAAGTGTGCTGAGGGGGAGAGGGGCCGAGGACGTTCGCTAGGTCTGAAGGCAAGGACTAAGGGCAACATGAAGGGATAGGGCGGGTTCTGCTGTAAGCTGGAAACGAAGTCTGGCTGGAGCGTGCTGTGTCCGTTACATAGTCAAAAGTCTGGGGGGCTTCTGTGCTTGTCTCAGAAAGCCCTCTGAGAGAAATCACCTTCTATATAAGAACCCTCCCAAGTAATAAATATGTGATTGTATAGAGATAAAACACAAAAATGGTGCTAACACCTTTGGTATGCCCTCATACAACAATACATTAATTCTTGATTTAAAAATAAAGAAATGTGAGCATATACAGGTTATAGTTTCATATCTCACAGGTCTAAAATTATTATGGGAACTAACCAACTTTCTTCCTGAAACAAACTCAAAACACTGAGGAGAATCTAAGGAACTAAAAAATCAATGAAAAAGTTCCCACTGATTGACAAAAGGGAAAAAAAAAAAAAAGAACATGAAAATACCTTAGCTTTTTAAAAACTTTTTTTTTTAAGATTTTATTTATTTTCTTTTAAAATTTTATTTATTTATTTGACAGAGAGAGACACAATGAGAGAGGGAATACAAGCAGAGGGAATGGGAGTGGGAGAGGGAGGGGGGGAGTGGGAGAGGGAGAAGCAGGCTTCCTGCAGAGCAGGGAGCCCAATGCAGGGCTCAATCCCAGGACCCTGGGATCATGACCTGAGCCAAAGGCAGACGCTTAACGACTGAGCCACCCAGGTACCCCTTAAGATTTTATTTTTAAGTAATTTGTACACCCAGTATGAGGGTCAAACTCACAACACCAAGATCAAGAGTCACACGTTCCACTGACTGATCCAGCCAGGCATCCCAACAATATCTTAACTTTTTAACAAGTGAAACAAATAGAAAGAGAAGGAACATCTGTACATATCTGGCAAACGACAATAAAGCAAGTGAATAAACTTGTTTGTTTATGTTAGAGAAAGGATGCTAGGTGAGCTTAGAAAGGATTTTAGAATTACAAATTTAGTGTAGGGAAGATTTACGTTTAAAAAAAATTCAGCGCGCACTGCAACAACATAACTTTATGTTAGAAAACAGTATCATGACCCATCTTACTCTTAAAATCCATTTATGTTGGCCAGCATGTGAGCAAAATTGCAAATTAAAAGGAATGGGAAGGGCGCCTGGGTGGCTCAGTGGCTTAAAGCCTCTGCCTTCGGCTCAGGTCATGATCCCAGAGTCCTAGGATTGAACCTCACATCGGGCTCTCTGCTCAGCGGGGAGCCTACTTTCCCCTCTCTCTCTGCTTGTCTCTTTGCCTACTTGTGATCTCTGTCTGTCAAATAAATAAATAAATAAAATCTTTAAAAAATTAAAAATAAAAAAAATAAATGTTGGCGAGGATGAAGAAGATCTCCTGTTAACACAGGCTGTGGATGGCTGACTTGATCGGTGGTGGTCAGTGGGGACAGGGAAAGAGGCAGAACATAAATATGGACAGTAAGCAAAAACTCAGCTTACTAATGTTATGAAATAAAAAACAAAACAAAACCACATGCTAGTAGGACATATGGAAAACACTGTTGAGATTGTCTAGAGTTTGACTAGAGAAGCCTGTGCTGGGTTGACCAGCAAACCAATGCCACTCTGTAATGCAGCGTCTCATACAGAGAAGGAAGACAGCAAGTCTGGGGAGAGAGCCGTGCAAATGCTGATTTCATCCGGGGCACCTGTAACTGTATATCTTTGAAAATTAGAGAGTTCTTAGAAGAGCAATAATAATGATTAAGGCAATGGAAGAATTGATTTATGAGGACAGATTAAAGGAGCTAAATATGAATAGCCTGGTTAAGTGACAAGTAGAGGGGTCCATAATAGGAGTCTCCGAGGAAAGAGAATAATTATTTAGCCGGTACAAGGAGGTATAACTAGAAGTAATGAGATGAAATTAAGAATGGGAAAATTTAAGCTGAATTTCAAGAAAAACTCCCTGATGGCATAATTTATTAGCTCACGGAATAAATTCTCTATGGAAATGGTATAGTGAGGGAAACTTAATAATAGGACTGGACAAAATACCAATAAATAATATAGATAATAATCCGGTGTTTGAAAGAAGGTGGTTACATGCTATGCTTTCCTTGCTTAGAATATCTCCCCATATTTTTCTTTAATAGTCTGTTTATATACAGTGATTGTTACCCAGATAAGTATTCAGGCAGTTAGCTAAATCAAAAAGGAAATATGTTCTTTAGGTGAGGTTAAGTTAAATCCCTTTACTCTTCATATACTCTGCAGGAGCGAGCTGAAATAATTTTTTGCCACTTTGTTCTAGCAGCGCTGGTTATGAAGCAAGCTGGACAAGTGTATTAATATTTCAAAAAACAAAACAAAACAACAAAACAAAACAATCCTCATCTACCATCCCACACAGAGTCTATTCTGATTCTCTGTGTCATGAAACTCATATTTTCATAGACATGTTTAATATAAACAATTTATTGCCATAATAGAAATCAAAAAACTTTATTCCAGCTTCTCTAAATGTAGCTCTATGGTCAATTACTTCACATCAATACCAAGATCAAATAGGCATAATACTAACAAGCAGTTTGCTTAATAATAGTCACCACACTAATTAACCCATCCAGAACATTCTTAATCAGACGCTATTTGTAATGTACAGTTAAGAGAAGCTTGGCAATAAGCTGTTCTAGGCTAAAAAAGAAAATAATACCTTACTGATGGGGTGAAACTGGCTTTTCTATGGAACTGGATAGAATGTGCTGTCCCGGGATTAACTCAAGAGAGCGAGCATGCAAATAGGCACATGTCTGAACACCTCCTTTCTGTTCCCAAGCTCCAACTCTGGTGGAGGTGTTAATGAGAATAGAAAAGGTCCTGCGATAAGGAGTGAAAGAGAGAAAAGAGTCAGAAGAAAACCAGTGAGCTGCCTTGTAGAGCTTAAGCCAGATTTGCCTTTTAATAACCCCCCAATTTTTCTTAAAGAAATGCTACTGCCCACCTGACTCACAGAACATCTTTCCCTCTTTCTGAGTCTCTCAGTTCTGTCAGAACCTGTTTTTACTTTTAGAAATATTCTGATTACTGTAATCATTTGCAATCTGTTATTTGCCATGGGGGCCCTCCCCCGCCTTTCCCCCCAACCCACAGCCAATCTCTGAAACAGAAGTAGAGCCTCCTCTCCTCACAAGTAGAGCCTCCCCTTCCTTGCCACACCTGTCCTCCAACACGGTTCCGGAGGCATTGCCGCAACACCCCAGTACTATGTTGG